TATACAAATACTAATTATTTAATAGAGTGTTTGTTAATTAACTGCTATGTAAGGTTCTTCAATTCCAAAAAACGAGAAAAAATACTCAATGTATTTATAATATAAGTGCTGTGTAAGGTGTTACTTGCAAAGTCGAACTAACCTTACGAAACGGATATTTATCTTATGGGTAAGTTTTACACATTAGATATTCAAAGAATAGTGTAAAAGTTGGTAGTATAAATGCAATTTTACACTATCAAGAGTGTTTTACACATCTACTTTTTTATACCTCCTCCAACCTTATACACTTTTGTAATATTTTATTATTTAAAGTTATTTATGCATAATAATTACTATTTATAATCAGAGTATTTTAGTTTATAAGCCTTTTATTATGTTTATGTGTAAAATCTAATCAATTTTTTTGTATGATCTAATCAATCTATTGTTAAAAATTTCATAATATTATTTAAAAGTAAATATCTAAATAATTAGTTGTTCATTTTTAACTTTTTTTGGTAAAATTGGTAAACTTTTACCCTATATCAAAACTGGACAAATACTCCATACCAGAAGTAGTAAGATTTTCTTTTTAGAAAAATTTTCTCTCAACATAGGATAAGATATCTATCCTTATCTAAAAATCTATATCTTATCCAAAAAAAATCTTTGATAAAATATCATTTTGATAAAGTAAAAGATTTTACAGGCTTTTGAATTGAAGGAGCCCGTGCAGAAATGATAAAGAGAGGAGAGGGAGGGAGTGACGAGAGATAAAAGGGGTCACAAACTAATTTTTAAAACTCTTTTCTCTATCTACAGTAACTTTAGAAATAGGAGGCGTGAGTTCCTTTTTGCACTATAGTGCATTTTAATTATCACCACATTTACACTATCCTTTGGAGTGAGATAAAATGAACAATAAAGTGTAAAGAGTGTATATTTTACAATATACCCTATGCATTGGAGTTGCTCTAAGCCTCTAACTTAGGAAGTTTTCCCATCGCTTGCAAAGATGGTACTATACTTCTTCTGTCTAAAAATTAATTTCTCAATTAATTTTCTCGGTCTCCAACATAATAATAAATATTTCAAAATTGTATTTAAAATTGAATCTATTGATATTAAGAGTCAATTCATTAGAACTGCAAAAAAAGACCTGGATGTTTGAACAAATTGGAAGAACTAAAAGAAATTGAAAGAAACTAGAAGCAACTAGAAAATTTTCAAAAAATTGGAAAACCCAAAAAACCTTTTAAAAAATAGTTTAATGTACTTTTATATTATTTTCATTCTAATTTTTGTTGTTATAAATTATTATCATCATCGTCATCATCATCATCATCATCACGTTATCTTAGTGAATGCCTTTAAGATAAAAAAGTATTGTTATCTTTTATACACAAAACTATTTTTGTAAAAAAAAAACTTAAAGTTAGCATAAAAAACTCAAAATGTTAAATTTCACAAATTTATTGTGGCTACGTTGCACCTTAATTTATTTATGCAGTATTTATTATAAATAACATATTTGTATTTATACTTTATATATTACAAGATTTTGTCTTAAATATCAGACATGTCACATAATGTAATCAAACTAATTTTTTTCTTTCATGATTGGCATTTTATTTTCATTGTAACTCCTGTTTTGTAGGATAAAGACGTAGAACTTTTTTTTATATTTTTTATGTTATACTCCTATTCTAATCTTTTTCTCTAAACTATCTTGACTTTCAATTTTCTTTATAAAAATTAGAAAAAATGAGAAAAATTTGAGTAATAAAGAGAAAAGTGAGGGGTCTTATATAAAGTTAGATTAATTAAAACATTTTATTTAACTATTTTATCCATAATTTTGTAATATCGTTTAAAATATTGATATTTAAGTATTTAACTATAAATTGAAAGAAAGTACATTTAATTATGATATAAAATAAATATTTTGAGAAGCTAGAAAAAATGGCAAAAACAAATACATCTTACCAACACCAAGCATGATATTCAGTTTGTAGTGAATCATGTTTGTTAGCGGATGCATGCTCTTACTGAACAAGACTTCCATTCTTTTAAAAGGATTTTGCGTTGTACTAAAAGAATAATAGATCAAGGACTAGTCCTTCAGCGTGGCTCTCTAGCACTCTCTATCTCTAGCACTGAGAGGTAATGTGGCTCTCTTATCTTTTAGCAGACTTGAAGGTTCAAATGCCTCCTCCGCATCCTTTTGGTGATAATTAGTTCGCAATTATGACTGTCTCATTTCTTCTCAGCGAGCAGATAATTTTTTTGGCTGATCTCCCCATGAAATGACTCTCCTTTCTGCAGTTTAGGGACCTCGTTTTCAAATTTCCACTCATTTCACGATGTTGGGTTTGAGTGAGATGCTAGACAATAATAACAACAATAGTAATAGTTATATTATTAATGTCAGTGTTCGTATTAGTCAACTTTTATTACTAAGTTGAATCCTATCTGTCTCAGGATTGGTTCCCAAATATACTCTCTTATATCTACTATTATTTCTTGAGCAAATCAATTATTTCGTTATTTCAACAATAATAATACAAACAACAAATAACAATAAAGCCTTATCTCATTGTTAGGATTCCTCCAAGTCCCACACCGGAGGGAGAAGAAAAAATGAACCAAAATATATAGGTTCACCCAACCCCATTAGTATGAGACCTTTTGGGAGGTGACCAAAAACAAATCCGTGAGGGCTTGGCCCAGAGCGAACAATATCATACTAATGCGGGGTTGGAGCGAGGGCACGCACAGTTAGGGCTGTTCATGTTTAGGTCCAGACCGAAAAAACCAACCGAACCGGACCGATAGGTCCAGACCGAACCCGGACCGATTGGATTTCGGTTCGGTCTTCGGTCCACCAATTTTAGAATTTCGGGTTTCGGTCCGATCCGGTCCAAACCCGAATATCATTCGGTCCGGACCTAAAAGACCGAGACCTTAAGAAGTACCCGTAGTATCCGTAAAAGACCTAGACCATAACCATCACTCCACCACCGTACTTTCTATTCTTCCCCTTCCACTTTCCCAAAAATCCTCCACCGCAACTCAAATTCCAATCTCTATTCTCCAATCGAATCGGCAATCGGCTATGACTCTAGAGGCGCAAATCGCTGACTGCCCGGAAATCCGCCGTCCATGCCGCTGCCCAATCTGCTCCGGCTACCACACGCAGCGGCGAGCCTCCCCACCACTCCCAATCGCCTCCTGATGTCCATACGACCCCATTGCCACCAGCATCGTGGGATTTGGAAGCCGGAATCGCTGGGAATCAGTTACCATCCGTCACGGCGGTTTCCGGTGAGTATTTGCAGATTCTGGCAACCTCCGGCAAATTCGACGTCGCGCACCCACCCAGGAATCTTCCTGACATCTTTACGACCCACCCTAACTCCTCAATTGGAGAATTTGGTTCGGGATTGCAAAACCCCCAATTTTCCACACCTAGGGTTTTGCCGGTGGGGAAAGTTTCAATTCCGGCCACACCTAGATTCGGTCTTTTCGGTCTGGACCGGTTCGCTCCATAAGATTTCAGGTCGGTCCGGTCCAAAACCGACTACATTTAGGTCTGGTCTTCGGTCTAGGTTTTAGCATAGTTCGGTTTTCGGTCCGGTTCGGTCCGGTCTGGTCCGGTCCGGTTTTAGACCGATGAACACCCCTACGCACAGTCCCAACATGTGGTATCGGAGCCCAGGTTCTTGTGGGCGTGCGCAGCGGATTGTGCAGTGTGGAAAAATCTCGATGTGACGGTGTAACAATAGGACCAAGACCAAGAAAGAGGATCCGCATGTGCCTTGTGTCGAAAGTCTTCCCGACGAGATGAGGTCGGGCGGCGTGTCCCGTGAAGTTATAGCCACACAGTACAAGATGATTTTGTGGATCAAATAGTGTAGCCCAGCGAAGGAAAGATCTGCGGTTCGAGCCTTGTGTCGAAAGTCTTCCCGACAAGAGGTCGGGCGCCGCGTCCCGCAAAGAGTGTGCGACGGTGCAAGATGGTTAGCAGATAAAAGGGGAAAAAATGGATTACCAATTTACCGCTGGAGGGGAGGTCGAAAATTGTGTGGTCCTTGGATGAGGATAGGTTTGTTGGGATTCTTCCAAGTCCCACACCGGAGGGAGAAGTAAAAATGAACCAAAATATATAGGTTCACCCAACCCCGTTAGTATGAGGCCTTTTGGGAGGTGCCCAAAAACAAATCCGTGAGTGCTTGACCCAGAGCGGACAATATTATACTAATGCGGAGTTGGGGTGAGGACACACGCAGTCTCAACACTCATTAGGTGGGATCGACTATCAATAACAATGCAAATAAAATAATAGTCATAGTAAAAATAATACTAGTAATAAAAACAAAACAATGAATAATAATAATATGGAATATTTATTATTGCGATTATATAAACACATGTATACTTTTAAAAAGAAAAGAAGGGAACTTTAAGTTTATTTAATCAAATGAATACATTTTATTATTGATCATTATTAATTAATAATGATTTTCAAAAGCTGTAATTATATAACACAAAATATGTTGCGTATATTATTTGTTTCTTTAAAGAGTATTCCTCTTAATTTCTATATCAAACGTCTTATATATTCAGACATTAATTTATTTTTAAAATATTTTTTAATGGTTTAAAACTGATTAGGATATATGAATGCGGGTTGGGCGGGCCTGAAGCCTGCAGATACCCGTGCAGGCCCGGCTCGGGTTTCAGATGTAAGTTTCGCTATGCAAGCGATGGCTACAGTTGGTCGATTGGTTAAGGACCTTAGGTTTGGTGGGCTAAAACTGTTTGGAATAATCTCATTATCCCTAAACACAAATTCTTCTCTTGGACAGGGAAGGGGTTCAAACTAAGGACAATCTTAGCAAATTCATGGAGATTTTTCTTGAGTTCCATATTTGTGACACTACAACGGAGGATATGGCTCATCTTTTTCTGGGAATATATATATATATATATCCAGCACCTAAAGCCTAAGATCTTTGTTTGTGTGTCTTGGTTTATGGAGCAATTTTAATTCCCATTCGGGGATGCCGAATTGGCTAAACCAGGTGCGTGCATATAGAGGAATTCTTGGGCTGTCTTGAAAGCCTACACTGCCTGCACATTTGTAGGAGAGGCTGTCAATATCAAGCTAATCTACTGGAACATCACAAGAACGATCCAAATTTGGGCGCAGTTGCTGGAGGAGCTGGATGATGAAGACTAAGAAGACACAAGGGCTGGGTGTGATGGCTGTTGTAATCGCGTATGTTGATCAATAATTTTAATTTTCAGATTATGCTAGTACTTTGTGAATGTTTTTGGTTCCCAGTCATATATATATATATATATATATATATATATATATATATATATAATGCTTTCTCCCTCTAGATCTCTCCGCGGCTAGGGTTACGCCGGCCGCCGCTATGGCGGTCCGGCGACCATCTTCCATACATGACCAACCCTCTCCCTCAACCTACTAGGAATCGCAGCTTCAACCACATAGCTCTCAAGGGTGACTTCAAACCAGCGACAAAATTCAAAGGGCAACCGGCCATCTCCTTCTCCGATGAGGACATCAACCATCTGTCTGCGAGGTTTGTTCCCACAATTGTGGGACGATTCACCAAGGGCAGACCTTGCCTTATTTCAATCCGTAAGGCCTTTGAACGAATCGCTTTTGAAAAGGATTTTACTGTAAGTTTGCTGGATGAAACTCATATCTTAATCAATTTCGAATCTGAGAACGATTTTCTGAGATGCTTGCTGCGAAAATACTGGAAGATTAATGGTTTTNTTGAAAGTGTTTCGCTGGACTCATGATTTTGACCCTGCTATTGATTCCCCTCTAATTCCGGTTTGGATTAGTCTTGAAGGTCTTCCAATTCATCTATTTGACTCTCTGGCTTTGTATTCTATTGCCAATTTGATTGGTAAACCTCTGAAAACAGATGCTGCAACAGCAAGCCTGTCAAGGCCATCTGTTGCTCGTATTTGTGTCGAGGTTGATACCAGCAAGGACCTGCCCAATGGTGTCTGGATTCATCTTGGCCAACTTACATTTCACCAGCCTATCATTTATGAAGATCTTCCTGAATATTGCCCCTCCTGTAAATCATTTGGACATAAAAACTGCAAAAAGGCCACAACATCTAGATGGGTGGTGAAGGACACAACAGGGACTGGGAATACAGCACCTGCTGTAGCCGTCCCTTCGTTGTTGCTCCAAGCTAATTTGCAGCCGGTGGATAAACCAGATGATGCCCTGAATCATGATGGTCCAAAAGAGAAGGAGGAGACCACTGTTGTGGAAACTTGCTCCTTTGCCCAGGTTGAAACACACTTGACACAACCTGTCCTAAAAGCTGTCAATGGGTTGGAACACTTACTAGTTACTACAGCTAAAACCTTTGAATCTGAAAATGAGGAACAATCTGCAATACACACAGCTACACATAAGGCAAGTGTTGAAGCTTTGGCAACCACCATTATAATGGTAGGGATGCTGAGGCTCCTGCGCCAACTGGCAGTGCTGAAGACAAAGGTGTGTTGGCTAAGATGGAACAAATCCGGGTTAGTGAGGATGCTCCTACTAACAATGACCCTAATTCCAGGATTGAACCAAGCTGTGAGGCACACAAACTGTCCCCTAAGACAGATTTGGAAGGCACACAGTACGAAGAAGAATTCCCGCCCCTCTCTAAAGAGTCTGTAACTGCTACACTGGATGATTCTCCAGCCCAAAATCAAAGTAGTGATGCACACACTCTTTCCCCCGAGAAAGAGATGGATGGCACACTACCCCCTTCAATGAATGGAGATGATGAAAATATTTCTGATCCTACACATATCACAAATATCCCCCCACCTATAACTAACTATGCAGGTCATGACCCAACTACTATTGGACCTATTCTTCAGTCTTTTGAGGTGGATGGTGAACATTATGAAATCAGGTCCTACGTTGAAGCGGAGACAAGTAACCAAAGGGAGGAGCCTGACTTCAAAGATGTCCAGAGCAGACGCAGCAAAAAAGTGGGGAAGAGGGGAACTGCACCAAGGACGATTAAAACTAGATCCAAATCTTGAAGTTGGAACGGTGAGCGAGATCACTAGATATTGGCCTAGCCGCAAATCAACCACAATGGAGAAAATCGTCACTACCAAAAGTTACTCTCGGCCCTTTTGGTACGTTGGACCCGTCGGCCCAATTGGAGCAGATGGGAAAAGACCAAAGAAAATAATGCCCAGAAACCTCGCCTTGGATCAGCACCCGGGTTTTATAATTTGGGAATGACCATCTGTTTTATCTCTCGTTTCATTTCTCATTCAGTTTTACTTTCATGCATCTCTAGAGGGGCATTGGCCTAGTCCTCCCCTCCCTGTACCTTTCTTTTACCTTTTTGCAATAAAATTTTTGTTTTATTAAATATATATATATATATATATATATATATATATATATATATATATATATATGGGACATTTCTAATATTAAAGACTTCTTATGTGTTAAATGGGTCCTTAAGCGAAATAACATTTGGAACTACATTCTTAAACCAGATTGCTGCTGGAATTGGAAAAAACCTATTCAGACCGGAACGGGTATGGCTAATATGTGATGGCTACAATTGGTTGATTGGTCAAAGACCTTAGGTTTGCTGGGCTAAAACTCATTGGAGTACTCTCATTATCCGTAAACATCAATTCTTTTTTTGGATGCTTACCAGAGAAAGGGTTCAACCTAAGGACAATCTTAGCAAATTCATTGAGATTTCTCTCGAGTGCCATATTTGATATTTGTGACTCTACGATCAGTTTTTTCTGGGAATGTAAATATATGCATCACTTTAATTCTAAGATCTTTTTGTGGCTAAAGCAGGTGCAAGGAAGAAGCTATAGAGGAATCTACTGTGCTGCATGGGCCTACTACTCACTTTATTTGGAAGTCCCGAAATCATTGCTTATTTTGAAGGAGAGGTATCGATGTTGAAGAAGCTTTTGCTCATGTTAAATTCAAACTTTGTTCCTATATTAATAATAGTAGATCCAAATGAAATTTCCCTCTGTTATATGGAGTAGTTTCTTTTTTACTCCTTAGACTTGTTTGATTGAGGTTTTTGTAAAACCCTTGTCTTTTGATCTACCTCCTGGTGTGCTTTTCCACAGGAGTGTTTAATAAAGTGCATTTTGGTTAAAAATAAAGTTTATGAACATTCAGATTTCATTTTTATGAACAATACAAAACCTCA